ACCTCTCCATCTGTTTACTAATTGGGCATTTTAATTGTTTGTTTCATTTGGTGTTAAATTATTTCTTAATCATTTTCTTCAAACCTCAGGATTATCAGGGTACCAGGATCATCATTATCTGTTGTTTGTTTTCTGTCTTTTTTAAAAATTATTTTTATTATTCATTTCAATGAAAATGTAGACTGTGGATTTCCATTCATTCACTGTTGCACTTTTCTCCCTGTCCACCCAGTACCCCGCCCCCAGTACTCCTTGAAAAGTGAGTCTTTGTTTTACAGTCCCTCCCCCCCATGTCCACTCCACTATGCAGCCTTCACTCTGGACTCTCATCATGACAAAAATACCTAATCACATATTCCTTTTAAACAGTTTTCTCCCTCATCCATTTCAATGCTGTATACATTATTTATCCCATCTTTCTCAGTCTCCCCCAACCCCGATGGCAGTCCTGTTTTGTAACAGTGGAACCATGTAGTATTTGTCCTTTTGTGAGTGAGATATTTCACTCAGCATAACGTCCTCCAGGGTCACCCATTTTGAATAATATTGTATGAGTTCCTTGTTTTTCAATGCAGCATAGTGTTCCATTATGTGAATATACCAAAACTTCTCTATCCATTTGTTTGTTGATGGGTATTTAGGTTATTTTCAAATTTTGCTATTGTTAACAAAGCCGTGATAAACATGGGTGTGCATATATCGGCTTGGGTGGCAGTTATGGTCTCTTTGGGGTACATTCCCAGTAGTGGAATTGCTGGGTCAAATGATATCTCTATTTGCAACTTTTTGAGAAAGCACCACACCGCCTTTCACAGTGGTTGCAGTGTTTTATACTTCCACCAATAGTGAATAAGGGTTCCAGTTTCTCCACAATCTCGCCAGCATTTGTTACTTGCTGTTCTGTTAAATTTTGCTATTCTTACTGGGGTAAGATAGTATCTCATAGTTGTTTGTCTTTGTTTTCCAGTTTCTTAACTGTAGAGCGAAACCCTGTTTGATTTCTTATCAGCTGTTTCCACTGGGGTTGATTGTGGACCCAAGTAAAATAAAATCCTTGAAACTTTAATATTTCTTTTATTTACCAAGACATTGTTGTGGGAATTTTCTGCTAGTCTTTGATCTTTGTGAGCAAGTGCTGCATGTCTCTTTATTTTTCAGTAAAAGTCAAGATGCCATCTGAGTATCAAATATTCGTGAGTCAAGTCTTGATGTCTTATTTATCTTCATATAATCTAACCTGAAGCGTTTGGTTTCATTATTATGGTTTTATCTTCAAATTATAGGTATAATACACTGATGTTGCCCATTGGTCTCAAACTTCCCTAGTCCTTTAGTCTTCCTTTCTGTTTAACAACTGTATTGCTTTCTTACCCACTTTAGTGTTCATCCAATACATTTATTGCAGATGCTAATTTTTCATTGTTTTATGTGCCATCCTTGGAGAGGGCTGTTGTACACAGGGTGGCTATTAGTCACAGGCAACTCAAATAAAGTTTTAGGGAGATGCACCTTTTAGAGTTTACAGGTTCTAGATAGATACATCTTCTAGAATGCGCACCAGGTAACTCATCACCTGTCAAATTTCAAATTTTACTTGCCCTTTGGACCTCTGCATAGTTTTTATTAGGTGCTGTTGAATTGGACTCATTGCTGCCACTCTAGCTGGATTTCAGAGGTAGTAAATCCCACATTTTCTCACGTGGAGCACCGGGGGGGATTCAAACCACAGGCAGTGCAAGTCCTTACCATTAAGCTACTAGAGCTCCCTGTTCTTTAAATGTGAGCAATTGCTTTCTGCTGGCTTCCTCTGAGAAACACATTATGCGTGTAGTTTCGAATCCACCAATGATTTCAAGAAATGTGGGGCTTATTCCTCAATGCTCTTTCTCTTCTAAAATTACTATCTGTTCTGGAAGCCCAAAATGTCTCCCCTGCTTAGTAAAGATAGTCACACTGTATCTGAATTCTATTCCCAAATGCACTGCAAAAAACTAACTTGTCATCAGGGCAAAAATCAGTTAATGTTTTTGTTAATAATTTCACTTAGTATACTTTCAAGGGTTGGATCTCACCCAGTCTCAGTTGATTTTTGGTTGCTTTCAACTGCCTTCTATGAATGCATGTTTACATTTCATTCAAAGTTTAGAATTGTTACTGACAAAGAGAATTATTCTAATCAATGCTATTTTTTCTTTACCAGCTTGGTAACCCCTGAAGTCTCAAAACATATAAAAAAATATTAAAGGCAAAATAAAGTTGATCATTTATTTTCAATCCATTCAGGGGGGAAAAACCCATTTTATACAACTGAACCTTTCACTCATTTCTTTCCAAGAGAAGTACAAAAGACAAGAATAAAATTGAGACAAGCATTTAAATGAAAACCCATTGACTCAAAGTCCAAAACAGAAAATGTAAATGGTTCATTCTACCAAAAGAATTAGTTTTTGTACAAAATATAAAGAATTTTATACTATAAACAAAGATTAGTGTATATCTAGTTAAATTAGAATTGTAGTATCCGCTTTTCCTCAATTCATCCAGAGCACAAAGCATATGTATCTACAGGTCAGAAATCTAATGACCTCAATGGGCAGCCTGTTTTAGAATAAGCTTTTACTCCAAAGTATCTGGAAAGACTTTTATTCTTTTCGTGGGCCCAAACTTCAATACATTAGTATTAATTTAGTTTCTAAAATTTTGCCATATTAAACATTAAGGGCACACTAACACTTAATGTTTAACCACTATTTTTTTAAAAATTATTATGACTCAGGGCTTTAATGGGAAATCTAAAAGTTCACAATCTAAGTCTAGTATTTCAGAAAACTTCAATTTCTATCTTTACTGAACAACATCAAACCAACTTCTAACTTCCTACTGCATCATTTTATTTTCATAGCCCTTCTACCCAAGAAACACAACTTAGAATAAAACATGGTCATAGTAGTTATAGAAAATGGTTCTCTAGCACTACGTTCAACTACAATCTTAATCAAGAAAGAAATGTTAACTACGATACTTACACATAACAATAACAAATTTCTCACTCAAGCTTAAAATAATATTAACTTGAATTTTAAATCTTTGTAATCTCAAATAAAAAGTGATCTACATTAAATTATTGCAGATGGGATTAAGATATTTTAAAGGTTCTATTTTAAAAGTTGCTCTGAAAGCATCTAGTCTAATATTATTGGCCAGTTTTTAAAGTATAAATAATGTTCATCCTTTCCTAAATTAAATGATGAGCTCATGTAAAATTCTTTGAGATTTTCTGGTTTTGTCATCATGTACAGTCATAGCCACCTTTCATTATTAATATTTTATAAATGATGTTTTCATGTTTGAGACTTAAAAAATACTAATTTAAATATGCATAGCTTTGGCTTTTAAAACATTGTATTTATTTTAAGTCTCATTTTAACTATATAGGGAATTCTAAAAATCCATTCTTGGAAGAGGCATGATTTTAAAGTTGTGGTTACAAACAGTGCATTATCCTAAGAAATCATACATCTTCTCTAGTTAATCTTTAATAAGAACAAGGGTAAAATGAACAAGAATGTATGTCTTTATAAAATTCTTATCTATAGGGCAAATTCTTGATTTTAACATGATGGCAAATCAAACATATATTCCAAAATAAAAATCTTACTACAACAAAAATTTCTCCCCATTCATGACATTTTACGTTAAGAGAGTATAAGCACCAAATAAAAATTCTGTAAACAAACTTTTAACAAATAAACTGAGGACAAATATCCATTTGTCTTTATTACAATATTTCAAAGGCCAAGATATGAGTGTCTAATTCCTACATCAGCATTTTTATATTAAAAATCCAAGCATATATACACAAACAAGAAACAAAATTACTGTACAATTTGGGAGAATAAGAGATTGACAAACCAGAACATTTACATTAATAAAGTGAGGACAAGGGACCTATAAAATGTATGCAATGTATAAAAATTCAATAGCTTTTTAAAGTTTTCTTGAAGACTGTTATTAAGAATAAAAGATGGTAGAGCTACTGGCTTTTAATTATTCCTGTAAACAGTAAGAGAGTAATAAGCAATAAATTAGAAATGTCTTAGCTCCCAGTATTTTTTCTTTTCTTGCATTAGAGCCACTTTCAGAGCAGCTAAATTTATTCTTTACAAGTATTAAGAGTAATCTGAATAGAAAATAAATTCCTTCAGAAATAAATCCACATTCTGTAACAGATTTTTGACAAAAAAAAAAAGGAAAAATACTGCAGGTTACATGAGAATTGGCTAATGTATTGCATGGCAGAGCAACTCAAGCCTTCAGTCCTTTCCTTCTTAATTTCACAAATTTGCTTTGATGGTGATCAAATTGTTTTCTAAATTGTTTGGTAGCAAGGCAAAAGAAAAACAAAAAAAGAAAGGAGCAATTATTTAATGTGTACATATTTATGAAGAAAAAACCCTTCAAAATACTTTTCCCTACGCAGCAGAGGAAAAAGTTTAATTTGGCACACTCAACTCAAGAAAGACAGAAATCAACAAAACTTCTAGTGTTTGGCATTCAAACATCCATAGTTTAAGACAACAGGAGTATAAGAAAAATATTATTAAGACTTCAGAAGACAAACAAACAGAAGGCTCTTGTGTCTTCTACCATTCCCTATCCCTTGAATACTTTCATCTGCAACATAATAGAAAATTATTTACATTACGGTGACATCAGGAGAGAAGACCATCATTACTTCATGTTGTGCTCTTATAGTGCCCACAGGGATAACCAACACTAACAAGGCAAGGAGGCCTTCAACAAAACATTCCATTCCAACTGTATACTTTATTTAAACTTGTGTTCTGGCTTATCTTCAAGCTTAGTGCACAAATAATAGTAAGACTTAAAAGTCCTGTAAACTGAGGCTGATTTTTCTTTCGTTGATAACTAACTGCTCATTGAAGATCATGTGTTTCTTAGTAACCAAAATGTTCTGCAGGTTTATCTAGGTTATTTCCTTAAACTGTAGTATCTCCAAAATCCTTGTTCCAACGTATGTATGCTTCTAAGGTTTGAGGGCTCACGCTGCGTTTTATCTTTTTCAAGGACTCTGTGAAATCTGATAATCGAATATTTCTCATCTAGATTAAAAAAAAAAAGGCAACACAAATTATGAACCCAAACACAATAGTTAATGCAACAATGAGTTAATTATGTTGCTCTAGTACATACATACATGCATATATATTCTTTGGAAATTTTAACAATTTTTTTGTATTTAATTTTTTTAAACTATTTTTTGTGTGTGTACTGTCAAATCATATCTGACTGGTATAGGAGGAGATTGTCCCTCCTTCTCCAGCAGAGCATCTGGTAACAATTATTTTAACATTTTACTATTGTTAGTTAAGTTCATTATATAAAAAAACCTTACCAAAAGTTACACTAATATACTTTTATCCTTGTGTAGATTCTTAGTTATTAACATTTAAAATACCATTTTCTCAATAAAAACAAAATAAATTAAAAAAGGAAAAAAATTACAGGTTAAAAACCAACCATTCACAGTTCTGCTAATCAGACATATATACACTACTATTTATTTCCTTTCAATCCTTTTTGTACGCATAATTGCAGGGCATTTTGTATCCTCAAGTCTCTCACTACAAATTCATGATAAGTCTATTAGAAAGGAAGTGGCAGGTTTGGAACTTTTAAGGAAATAGTCCTCATTAACAGCATGTAGAATGCTTATACATAAAAAAATTTAATTTTAATACTGCTTATAATGTATTTTAGACTAATTTGAAATTTTCTTGACAATTTAAATTGACTTTTGAAAATGTAGATTAAAACAAGACTGAGTAATAATTTTATTTATTTTTTTAAAATTTTAATATTTTTGTACGTGTACCGTCAAATCAGATCTGACTGGTACAGGAGGAGACTGCCCCTCCTTCCCCGGCAGAGCATTTGGTGGATTCGAACTGTGCGCCTCTGGGATTGTAGTTGCAGGTCCTTGCCACTAGGCCACCAAAGCTCCCCTAGACTGAGTTTACCTGAGTAGACCTGTTTACCCAAGGATCTTATAAAACAAAATGGCATTTGCCACAAACTGAGACTTGTTAAAAACTGTTACTGGTATATAAATAAAGGAATTTTGGACAGAATTTTTTAAAAATAATATTTACATGTTTATTTATGACTCTTAATCTAATTATGTTATATCCTCTGGTAACTCCATTAACATAGATTTTTAAAAATTATCATACCTAAACTTGTAACCTAACCTGAAACATTAGTTAAAAAGAAAAAGGCTGCATAGAGCTGCCACACAGTCACCAGATGAGCTTACCTGCTTCTATAAACTAGCTCTTATACAGGAGTAAAGGTTTTTAAAGCTTTTCATTAAATTGTAATGTAAGTAAACAGTTTGGTATGTATGTAGATATATGAAAAATATGGATTACATTTTATAGTCAATTAAGGGTCACAAGCAACTTGATAGCATATAACAAAAAACAGGAAAAAGTAACTTGGTAGTTACTTTAGAAAGAGGATGAAATAAATAGTATAGATTTCTCATTAAATGACAAAGAACTGATTAGGTAAAACTGAATGTAAAGCACATGTTATTAAAACAAAATATTCTTTGTCCTCAAATTATAACCAGTACTTTTTGGTACAATAAAGCTCTGGTGGCCTAGTGGTAAGAAGCTGTGCTGCAATCCCATCAGCACACTGTTTGAACCCACCAGCTGCTCCGTGGGAAAAGGATAGACAACCTCCTCCCATGCAACTACTTCTGAAAACCTACTGGAGGATCAGCTATAGGTCAGTTCCAACTTGACAAAACAACAACAACCCTTTAAAAACACAGATTCCAATAATTTATTTTAATTTGTAATATTAAAGATAAACTGAATTTACCTACCTACTGGTTTTCCAATACCAAACAATGTAACTTGTTAAAGTTTTACCAAATATTTTAAATCAAGGTGACTAGAATACATGAGATATGAACGTTATCGGCCCTGGCCTAAGGTGGGGGAGTGGTGTGTGAAAAGTAATATGTAATATTTATTCTTTCAAAGACTAAAACAGTATTAGTTTATAATATTAGTATATTCTTTCTCATTGATGTTGATTTGGACCAACTCATAGCTGGCCCTCCAGTGTATTAACAAGGCTGTAAATCTATTGGAGATTGCCCTTCTTTCTCACACACAGCTGGTGGATTTGAACCACCAAAAAGGCACCATCTTTGGGTTAGCAGCAAAACTCCCTACAGTCTAGGCCATCAGAGGTCCCTTCTAAGAGTACAGAAAAATTTAAAATATAGTATGAGATTCTATGAATAAACTGTACTTAAACCTACAGGGTTGCTATGAGTCGAAAACGACTTGACAGCACATAACAACAACAACAAACCTATTTTTTAAATCTACACACAAGACATTTAGGAAAAAAAAAAGAATTATACAGAATTTGTAAAGATATACAAACAGAAAATGTGAAGTTAAATCTGAAAAAAAATCAGACAGAACGAGTAACAAAATGATACATAATGGAGCCTATCTGTATACAGTAAAGGAATAACTCAGGCCCAGGTTGTTTACATGTTAAACATTCCAAAGCAATTATGGTCCTTTACGGGCTTCTAGGAGATAACCTCTAAACTCTTAAATATGATACCTAAAATGAGTGTGATTTTTGTTCATGCCACACCAGATGATTTCTTCTAACAACATGATTTGTGACGGTGACCATGGGTTGCACGTTACAGTCTGATCTTACAAAGGCATTCCATCTATATGTGGCTAACCTCTAACAAAAACTCCGGCTTTCAAGGCTTCTGTGAGCATCCCTAGTTATCAATATTTTGTCCATGTTGTCATACACTGATACTGGGAAAACTATGTACTGTCCATACAACTCGACAAGGAGAGAAAGCAGGACACTTGTGCCTTGCTTCTCCTACATTCTGTCCTATGTTTCTTTTCCTTTGCTCATTTAACCTATATCTTTTTGTTGGAATTAACCATTAATATAATGTTTTTTTCTGAGTTGTGTTAGTTCTTTAGAGGTCCTTGATAGAATTGATTTCTAACACACCTGTTACATTCATAATGTATAAAAACAATTTCTCAAATTTTATTTAATAATTTATATAACATGAATTGATAAATTTTTTAAATTAATATGTAAAATGGCTTTTGTCCATTATCAAAGAGATTATATAGTTTTATATGCTTCCACATTTTGAATTAAGGTTAATTTTTTTCTACTTTCTGATCAAATTATAAACTGCAAGAATTCAGAAAAGATTTTTTATAATATGGAGAACCAAAAGTAAGAAGATGTAATTCTAAAATAGTAATACCTCACTGGCTGACATATTCTTCACCTGTTCTGGTTTCAATTCTGTAAAATATAAAAGTCAAGTAAATATTTATTTTTTTTACATTTTTGTTTCTGAAAGGCAAAACGAAGTATAGATCTGAAAATCAATGTTTAAATGGTACTAAAACAGTATAAATTGCATAAACACTATTAAAAGAAAAAAATCACTATTAAAAAGATGTATTTTTATCATCATGTGAGTAAAAGTTAAAAACAACATGTTTTTTCATTCAGCGATTCATACGTAGATTTTGTATAACAGGTCTGTTCTAGAAAAGATGAAATCAAATTGCTCCTTGGAGGCAAGAACTGCCAGAAGTCCAGACTGGGTTTAGAAGGGATTGTGGTATTAGGGATATTGTAGCTGATGTTAGATGGAACTTAGCTGAAAGCAGGGAATACCAGAGGAATGTCTGTGTTTCAATGACTATGTGGATCATAACAAACTGTGGCTGACTCTGAGAACAATGGGAATCCTAGAACACTTGATCGTTCTAATGCGAAACTTATACTTGGACCAGGAGGCAGTCGTCAGAATGGAGCAAGGGAACACTGTATGGTTCAAAATCGGGAAGGGCGTACTCCAGGGATGCGTCCTAGCTCCATACCTTTTCAACCTGAATGCAGAACAGGTTATCCAAGAGGCTGGGCTCTATGAGGAGAAGTGTGGGGTCAAGATTGGTGGACGATCTATCAACAATCTGTGTTATGCAGATGACATAACCCTGCTTGCTGAAACTGAGGAGGACCTGAAGTGCTTGCTGCAGAGGGTCAAGGACTGCAGCCTCCAATATGGATTGAAACTCAATGTCAAGAAGACAAAGATTCTCACCACTGGGCCAATTGGCAGCATCAGGATGGATGGTGAAGAGATTGAGATTGTACACAGCTTTAGTTTGCTTGGCTTCGCACCAGTAGCCAGGAAATTAAAAGGTACATTGTCATGGGAAAGTCTGCTGTTAGGGACCTCTCCAAAGTACTGAAGAGCAATGGTGTCTCTCTGGAGACTAAGGTGCGTCTGATACAGGCCATGGTCTTTGCAATCACTTGTTATGCATCAGAGAGTTGGACAATGACCAGGGAGGATAGAAGGAGAACTGATGCCTTTGAGCTGTGGTGCTGGAGAAGAGTACTGAGGGTACCATAGACTGCTAGGAAAACAAACAGATTCATCCTGGAAAGGTTTAAACCGGGTGGCTCCTTGGAGGCTCTGTCTAATATACTCTGGACATGTTGTAAGGAGAGACTGGTCCTTGGAGAAGGACATCATGATTGGGAGGGTGGAGGGATGGCACAGGAGGGGAAGGCCCTCTATGAGGTGGATTGATTCAGTGACTGGGGTAATCGGGATGGGAGTGTCAGAGACAGTGTGACTGGCACAGGACAGAGCACAGTTTAGAGCTGTTGTACATAGGGTCGTTATGAGTCGCAAATGACTTGACGGCACACAACAACAACAACAACATGTGATTAACCACTGGAGGAGGATCAACTATAAGTCAGTTCTGACTCAAGGGTAATGAGTAGAAAAGAGAGTACAGGGGTAGGGGTAGATGTCAGAAATGAAGAGGTTGGAAAGTTAAAATACGTCTAACATCCACACCACAGGAACCAACTTGGCACTGATTCTGTGCTTTCAGGTTAATTCCTGACACTAAAATTTAATACCTGAAAGTATTATTTAGCCACTGCTCAGGCTGTCAGGGTAAAGTAATTTAAAAACATTCACTCTAAAGTCATGTTAGGTGGTTATGTACTGTTGAGTTATAAACAATTCATAGCTGACCCTCCAGCAGGTTTTCTGAAGCTGTAAATTGCACATTTTTCTCCCATCTTTCTCCCACTAAGCAACTAGTGGATTTGAACCATGCGGCTTTAGGCTGGCAGCACCACACCTTACCTCTAAGCCACCAGAGCTTCTTGAAGTTATGTAACATTTTAATTTAACCTAATTGAAAAATAAAGGTGCTCTGGTGGCCTAGTGGTAAGAAGCTAAGTGGTATTTCAGGATCCACAAATTAACGTCAATCAAAATACAGCAAGGAAGGATATATTTTGCTTCAATTTCATGACAAATAACAAAGAGTATTAATGGTAAAAATTCCCCTTATATATTCCTTAACCAAAACCCAAACCCACTGCCAAAGTATTTATTCTGGCTCACAATGACCCTTCACCAGATTTCTAAGGTTGTAAATCTTTCCAGAAGCTTGCCTTTTTACAGAAGATCCACCTTTTTCCCCTCATAGATTTGAACTGTTGACCTTTCAGTGACCAGTCAATACAAAATGCATTACGCCACCAGATTTATGTTCTCTTCAAATGAAAAAATTCATCACCATCAGTTGGACTAAAAGCATATTTATATTCCTTTAGATATATTCCATTTCAACTGGAATCAGAATATTGAACTGAAAAGAGTCAGAAATCTGATAAGCATATAATATCGTTCTTTATAATTTACTTTCTACTAACTGAAAAAAGAGATCTCATTTGAGTTTTCTGCCGCTTTTTACCAATTATCAAGTGAAACTCTTGCACAGAACAGGGGCCACAGCCATTAGTGTGTGCCTGGCTCTGTATGGTCTCCAAGATAGAAACAGTTACTTTCACTATTTAAAATGTTATAATAAAGAAGAAAAAGGAAATGGAAGAGAGGCAAAACAGCAGCAACAGAAACCATACATGGTCCAGAAAAAGGTCTGCTGGCCCCTAATACAGAGAGTGAGAATCCTAACTGACAGGATAGTGGTACAAACCTGCTACCTGTAGTATGGGAAAATTGGCTTCCATAATTATTTACAGCCTTGGAAGTGCTATAGTGAAGTACTACTCTCCCCTACAAGGTGGCTAGGAGTCAGAATTCAATTGATGACAACAGGTTTTGGGATTTATTTTGTGAGCATAGACATAATCTTGTACTGAGTATTCCACTGATATAACTTTCCTACTTATAGTAAAAAGATTTCTCAATAGAAAAGTACATGTCTAAAGTGGTATAATAATAATAATAATAGGTGTAAATGCTTCAAGCTCTTGGACACACCTACCTCGGATAGGACCTAGTGCTGCATCTTTTGCCAAAGCTGTTAGATCACTTCCTGAGTATCCATCAGTCATTCTAGAAAAGGGAAGAGAGAGTAAGTAATTTTCTTTTGTGCAGATTTTAAATCTGTGTAGTAAATAAAAATTATGTTTACTATAAAAGCTTGTGTTGGTATACTGAGTTTACTATTCAAAATGGCTTTCCTTGCCAATGACTTTGACATTCACTATATGACTGGGTGAGAACATGAAATAGGATGTGTAAAAAGAGCAAAGGTCATATAGGGATGGCCATATTTGACCTATACCAACTTCACGAAGGGGAACTGTCCCCATCAACAGCATCAACAACACAAACCAATTCTCATGAGCTGAGACATGTTCCCCAAGCTCTCAATCCTCTTTCTATTCATCCCAACACCAATCTTACTGCTTTACTGTGTCCAATAGCTCACAAACAATACTGGGGAAGTCAAAAAGCTGAAATTCACATTAGTAGCAGAATACAGTCAGGACAGCTTCTGAAATGGCTTGCAGATGCCTCAGCCATGAGCCTCTCAGCTTTAGACCAGTATTACAAAGTTCTCAGTCCTGCTAATACTGGTTCTTCACTCGCCAAAGTCTTCCAACAAATTTGGGCAAAAAGCTCTTAGTTCTGGTTCAGTGGTGCTGAAGTCCCAAGATCTGCTCCATCTCATGCCAGGTCTCTGGTTCTCTGCTGTGGCTGTTGCTCCTGTAGGCCCTTGTCTGGCTGCAGCAAGAATCTCTGGTCACATTACATTCTCTTGCTACTTCTTTGCTGGCAGTGAAGTTTCTCCATTTCAGTTGCTGGATTTTCTAATTTCATAGTGAGACTAGCTAATCCCCTTATGGATTGGTAAAACTAGTCAGTCTTCCTGTGGATAGGCTAACAAACCCTATTCATTTATTCCCATCCATCCACATGGCAAAGTAAGTTAATGGATAGGGAAATAATTTTGGACAATAAACCCCTAATACCACAGGGTATATAACACAACACTGAAATTGAGCAGACTAGGAAAAAAAGATAATTTCACTATTAGCAAGAAAACAGCAGAAGAGACTGCAGAGTGTGTCCTTTGGGCTCAGAGATTCCTACTCCAATCAGACAAGGATCTACACAAGGGTAGCAGCAGCTCAGTGGAGAACCAGAGATCAGGATGAGACAGAGTTGATTTGAGACTGCTGCCCAACAGTCAGAGCCAAGGGCCTTCTCTCAAGCTTACTGGAAGAATGAGGGAGATAGCATAATCGGCAGGAAAGAGAGAACTTTTAAACACTGATCTGTGAGGTTGAAAGGGCTTTAGAACACATTTATAATGCTTTTCTGAAATGTAACCTGTTAACGTCTCTAGTAAACACAATAACCATAGGTATGGTTCTATGTGATCTATGTGGCCACTGAAATGACTTTTGAACCTAATAGTGAACCAGAATAATAGTTGTGTGAAGATGTTTTCCTTGTATACATATGGATATTAGCTATCCTATCACTCAGAACATCAGAGAGATGGACAATGACTAGGGAGTTGATGTCTTTGAGCTGTGATGTTGGAAAAGAGTACTGAATATACCATGGACTGCTAAGAGAACAAACAGGTCCATCCTGGAGAAGGTTAAACTGGGCTGATCCTTGAAGGCAAGGATTCAGAAGCTTTGTCTGACATACTCTGGACATGTTGCAAGGAGGGACTAGTCCTTGGAGGGACAGTGCAGGAGATGAAGATCCTTGAGGAGACAGACTGATTCAGTGTCTGGGATAATGAGGGTAGGTGAGTCAGAGACGATAAGATTGACAAAGGATAGAGTACGGTTTAGGGCTGTTGTACACAGGGTCGCTAAGAGTTGCAAGCAACACAACAACAACCACAACCACAACATCACTCAAAACATTGTACTTCAGGACAGAACTTGATTTTCTGACTATGAATGAAACACCATTCTTCCTCTGTTTTTCATTCGCTACATAGTGAAACATATGATCATCTGATTCAAAGTGGCCAAAGCTGGTCCATCTCATCTCACTAATGCCCAGTAGGTTGATACTCATGTGCTCCTAATCAATTTTAACACTTTCCAGTTTTACAATATTCAAGCTATGCACATTCCATGTTCCAATTATTAAACAATGTTTGTTCTTGTTTTTCCTCATTTCAACTGATGTCCAATCTGGGCTCTTCCATCACACTACTATAACTATCCTCATTCCTTTAGTATTAACAGTTTTCAAAGGCCTATTATTTAGGAAGTAGATGGCCCATTCTGCTTCCTAGTCTGTCTTAATTAGGGATCTCTACCAAACCCTGTCCACCATGGTAATCTTTATTATGGTATTTGACACATACCAGTGGCCCAGTTTTCAGTATCATAGCAATCCTAAGTTACCTCAGTACAGCAAACTGACAGAAAAGTGCTGTACCACTTGGAACAATGTTCTCCCCAAACACAATCTAAAGCTGAGAGAACAAATTTAAGCTTAATGTCATAATATTAAAAGATACTACGGGCAATATACTGAATGACCAGGAAAGCACCAAAGTAAGATGGAGGGAATACACAGAATCATTGTTACCAAAAAGAACTGACTGACACTGAAAAATTTCAGGAAGTATCATATGAGCAGGAGCCAATGGTAATGAATGAGGAAGTAGAAGCGGCATTGAGGACATTGGCAAAAAATAAGGTCCCAAGAATCAATGGGATATCAACTGACTTGTTTCAATTAACATATGCAGCTTTGGATGTGCTCACCAGTCTATGCCAAGAAATTTGGAGCACAGTTGTCTGGCAGATAGATTTGGAGAGATTGATAAATTTTCCCATTTCCAAGAAAGGTGACCCAATAGAATGTGGAAACTATCAAGCAATATCATTAATATCACATGCAAGCAAAATACTGAAGATCATTCAGAATTAGCTAAAATAGTACATAGATTGGGAACTGCCAGAAGTTTAAGCAGGAATTTAGAAGAGGCCATGGCACTAGGGATATCACTGCTGATGTCAGGTGGATCCTGGCTGAAATTAAGGAATACCAGAAGAATGTCTATTTGTGCTTTATTGACTATGGAAAGGCATCTGTGTGGAATCAGTTTTACACTTCAGATTTTTCCATCTCCATTGATTCAGTTACTGGGATAATCAGGATAGGTGTATTTGAGACAGTGCGATTGGCACAGGACAGAGCAGAGTTTAGGGATGTTGTACATAGGGTCGCTATGAGTCTCAAGCAACTCAATAATGTGTAACAGTAACACCACCACCACCAACATGATGACTTTATGTAGAAGTAAACGGCTTAATATAGTTTGATTTTAAAGAAAGGCCCACTTGCAGAAAAACCAAACAAACCAGGAAACCACTGGCTCATTTTCCCTTTCTCTCTCACTGTTGTCAGGCTGGTATCCACTTATAGCTGCCTCTCCAGCAGGTTTTTGAAGCTGTAAATCACATGAGACCGCCCATCTTTCTCCCTTGTACCTGCTAGTAGGTCTGAAACACCACAGCCGTTAGGTTATCAGTGCCAACTCCCTAGAGGCTAGGTGCCAGAGCTCCCTGCTGGCTCCTCCCAGTGCCTCAAATTTACATCATTAGAACCATTCCTTTAGGAATATGGCCTTCACAAGGCTGTCAACAAGTGAACATGACACCTGGATAAGTAACATCTGTAAACTACCATTTATATTGTGATATGTCATCATATAACCACATAATTACTTCTCTGTTCATGTTCATCTTGGCAAAGATCATTGCATTGACTGAACGAGGGTCAAACAAGGCGTATTTCTGTAAATATAGGACAGAACGAAGGAAGGGTTTGGGTATAAAATACAGATAAAAGGAGGCACATGTTAATAGAATGACACAATGCAAAGTCTTGAAAAGCCAAGAGGTTAAGCACTCAGAGAAGCAAGGAAAAATGGGAAATAAAATAAAGAAGAAAGCATTTACTTATCATATGCCACGCCAGCAACTATCAAATATTACTAGCAAAATTTTCCCTCAGAATAAGAGGAATGTCACTTTTCAAATATTTATTCTTTTCTGAAACACATGAGATCTCAGGCCTTTTATTAAAATTACCAACTACTCATATATTTTTCAAGTATTTTAAAATTACAAGTTTTTCAATGACAAATTAAAGCATATATCAACAGAGCTCAAATAATTTCCACTTATATACATAATTTAAAAGTATACAATGTAAAAGTTAAAAATTACACAGAATATAAAAGAACTGAACTCATAGCAGAGAGCTCTAGTGACATATTCTATAGGGAGCTGCACTGCTAATCCTGGTAGTACAAATTCACCAGTGGTGCAGAGTAAGAGAGATGAGCAATCTCCTCCTGCACAATTTATGGTCTCCTGAGAGTCCGCTGAATGATCAGGTACATATGGGTTCCAACGTGATGAGTTTTTGAGTTTGAATCTGGTGTGAGAAGATATAAGAAGTTTTAAATTTTTAAAATCACTTCACCGGGACTTGGGTAGAAATTGTTCTGATCATGAGCTCTCTGTTTTTCACTATTCTTTTTTTCTACACATTGTGCCATATAAAGTGATGCTACCAAGCCAAAGGTGGGTGATTATAATCTGCGTCACTCAGGCCTGGTTTTAATAATTTTTCTAAGTGGTGTAGCACTGGTCTGTCCATTTGCTGTACAGAGGTAGCTCGTGGTTACTGTGACACTGATGTATCAAATACAATAATGGTTACCCATGGTGAACAGTGTTTGGTGGAGCTCCCCAATTAAAACAAGCTTGGAAGCAGGAGTGGCATCCACTTCCAAAATAGCTTGCCTCTGGAAACTCTATGAAATTTGAGAAATGACAAAAGTTACACAAGTGTTCAGGTATTTAGTTCATAGAGTCGCTAGGAGTCGTCTGACTCGATGGCACTTAACAACAACAACATGTACACTACCTTTCTTATTTTACACTTTCAAATGAGTTGATTTAATTCCAGGTGGTACAGAATTCTCGGCATAACAAAGGCTGAAAAGCAGATTCTGACAGGATTCTGCACTGCATTTACTTTGACTATACAGTTAAGACTGGAATGGCTGAGTGAGAAAAACTAAAGAGATGGTTTCTTTATCTTCATTGTTTTACAAAAGTTTATTCTGAAATGTACAACAGGCTTCAAGACAACACTTCATTTTAACTATAGGTGGCATCAGATGTTCTAGTAGAGAATCCAGATGTTTTAAACAGGAACAGGAAGTATAAAGTTCATCACTGCCTCAGTCACAAAGAACAGCTTATTTTGTTGCCAGGTTTTTAAATTCCCCTGTGGGGCCAGACAAAGTGCTTGCTGCCCCTTCCCCAGACCTGCTACCGAAAGTCGAGCTTGTGAGTACCCTGTGCCTCCACCACCATGCAATGTGATGATTCACCATTTTTTCACTTTCTTTTAAAAAGTAAAGAAAATCATTTGTAATCAAACCAAAAACCAAATCCATTGCCAGTGCATTTATTTCAACTCACAGTGATCATCCACAGGGTTTCCAAGGCTGTAAGTCTTTACTGGAGGATAATGTCCATCTTTCCCTAATAGAGCAATTGGTCCTCCAGAGATTCAAACCACTGACCATTAGATTGGCAGAGTAATGAATAATGAATTCACTACTCCCTGGGGCTCCTCATCACACAGGCAGCTCTGCTTTCAACATTCTTCAGTTTCTGCTTTCTAGTTCCTTAGTTTTCAGACAAGCAGAGAAGCCTGGCCTTTGAGTTAGCAACACAACTACCTACGGATTATGCCACCAGAGCTTTTACTATCGTTGTTGTTGTCAGATGCTGCTGAGGCAACTACAACTCAAAGCAACGCTATCAAGAACAGAGTGGAAGCTTGTTCTATCCTGCATCACCTGTACAATTGCCACCATGCTTAAGACCATGTTGCAATCACGGTGTCAATCTATCTTGTTGAGGGTCGTCCTCTCTTTTACTGACCCTTTACCTTTCCCAGCACAGTGTCTTTTCCCAAGGACTGGCCTTTCCCTGATAACATGTCTAAAGTATGTGAGATCAAGTTTCATGATGCTTGTCTCTAAGGAGCACCTGGTTGCACTTCGTCCAAGACACGTTTATACCACAATTCGAAAGCATCAATTTCTCTTCAGTCTTTCTTAGTTATTTTTCAACTATCATAGGCATACAAAGCAAATGAAAATACTATGGTTAGGATCAAGAGCACCTTAAGTTTTTAAGCTGTTATCTGTGCTCTTTAGCATTTTAAAGAGGTCCTTGATAGCAGATTTGTCCAAGGTAACAGATCTTTTGATTTCTTGATTGCTGTTACCATGGGGTGGATATGGCTCCAAGGAAAATGAAAACTTTGACAACTTCAATCTTCTCCATCTATTGCTTAATGGTCCAGTAGTGATTATTTTTGTCTTCTTAACACTGAAATACAATCTATATGAAGTCTTTTTTTTTTCTTCAGTAAGTAATAACCTATTTGGAAATCTTTGATTTTCTTCAGTAAGTACTTCAAGCCTTTTTCACTTTCTGTAAGCAAGGCTGTATCACCTGCATAATGCAGATATTTGATGAGCCTTCCTCCAAGCCAAAAGCCACGTTCTCTTTAATATAGTTCAGATTTTTGAATTCTTTACTATTTTTAAAATTATTTACTACTGATGTTGTTGCTATGTGCTCTTGAGTCAGAAGTAACTGACAGCTAGCACTCCAGCACATTTTCAGAGGCAGCAAATTGCACAGGAGGCTGTCTCTTTTTTCCATGGCGTAGCTGGTGGAATCCAACTGTATGCCTTTGTGTCAGCAGTACAGCTCCTTTTCATTAGGCCACCAGAATTTCTTAATTTACTAGTAGGTATCTTAAGCATCTTCCAGTTCTATCTATAACTCAAACTAAACAAAACTGTTACTACATTTTAGGTAACTTTTAAGAGCAGCATCCTCGTACAAACAATGTGGAAGGCAGTCTGGGGCTTTCTCTGAAAGTTGGAAAGAGATTTCATTTGACCTAGCAATTCCACTACTAGGAATATAACTTTAAGAAACCAGAGCTTCCACCAAAGCAGATGTATGCACACCCATGATTATGGCTGTGTTATTCACAACAGAAAAAAGATGGCAGAAACCCAAGTGCTCATAAACAAATGAATGAAGAAGCTGTGGTATATTCACACAAAGGAATAATATGCAGCACTGAAAAACAAGGAACTCATAAAATATTACACAACACAGGTGACCCTGGAGGACCTTATGCTGAGTGAAATATCTCAGTCACAAAAGGACAAATACTATACAATACCATTGTTATAAAACAGGACTAACATGGGGGTTGGGGGTAACAAAGAAAAGAGGGGATAAATAATTAATATTTTATTGGAACAGATGAAGGAAAGAACTGTTTAAAAAGAATATATGATTACTTACTATACGTATGACAACAGTCCAGAATAAGAGATACAAAGCAAAGTGAAGTGGGTGAGGGGTTGGGGGTGGAGGAAGGGAGGAAATTATGCAACAATAAATGAATATTTTTTTCTTTTAAAAAGTGAACTGAGGTGACGGTAGGGAGGAAAAGGTGCAACCATTAATGAATGAAAATACAATTTTTCTGTAAACTTTCATTAAAATCACTATTTTAAAAAAATGGAAAAAAGTATAAACCAAAAAACACCTCACAAATTATTACATATAAACACAGACACACACACTCTAAAATGGCTACAACAAGTGGAATATACTAAGATGGTAAGCATGCTTCTGAACCAGGGAACACATTTCATATAAGGGTTTCCATAAGCAGGAATACTCCAACAAGTAACAACAAAAGCCACATGAATAAATGTTACCATATCTGACAACAAAAGCACTGAATGTTCTCCTTATTAATCAATCCATGCTTGCAATTTACATACATTATTTTACTACTATAACCATCCTCCTCTAAGAGAGTAAAGGAGCCTTGTCGGTGAAGTGATTAAAATACTCTGCTAATGGTACCTCCATCTTAATATTGACTCATAGTTTGATAACCAATTAGTTCAATGCAGGCTGCAAAGAGTTTCAATTGAGATGCATTTTCATACTCAGCAGACTGTATTCCTTTATATCAGTTTGATTCTTTGCTCAATATAATATAATAAATAATGTTGCTACATTTTCTTTTTTGATGAACATATCTTAAGAGGTCTGTTTGTTTTTTTAAAGTCCTCAATTAAATAAATCCGTTTATGCACAAAAAGAGCAGTATCCTACTCTTAGTACCATTAGTTATCCAGCATTGTTGTAACAGAAAGACCACAAGTAGACAGTGTGACAGCTAGTACTGCCTAACAACATGGTCATGATCTTCAGTGTAACTATCCTAGGTCCTATAAATTCTAACTTCTGTGAGTTCCCATGATTATCTCTTCTGTGTACGCAGACAATCCTGTATGACTTTACACTTTCCTAGATTTTATTAGGGTCAAAATGCAACACTTAAATCTTTTAGACTGGAAGCAGGAGTGGCATCCACTTCCTAAACAACATGCCTCCATATACTCTATAAATTTTGATAAATGTCAATAGTTAAAAAGGGCTTTAGGACTTTGTTCATAGGGTCACTGTGAGTCGTGCTCAACTTGAAGGCAATCAACAACATGATGTCAATGATAGGGAGCTCTGGTAGTGCAGTTCATACCAACTTGTGTTTCTAAAATCAGGACTAGACCACAGTGAGTTTGTGTGATGACGTTAAAGAGGCAGGATCAGAAGCAGTTGTAGAAAGGTATAATCAGCCTCATCTGATGAAGGGAAAGTCTCCTCAGGGGTGTGACCTACACTGAATATATATGTTGTGACTCTCTAGAAAAGCTAAAGAGCTTTTTGTCTGACTTTGTACCTAACTTGTAACTTTTAGGATTTGAGCTTGTGTCTTCAACCTTAATGATTTTACCAGGCTTTGTCAGCCTCTGAAGTTGCAGTCTGCAATGATTCTTTGGAATCTGCTAGCTAACATTTAGGATGGATTACCCTCCTCAGATAGAACCTCTCCTGACGTTCAACCCACAGACCTGAGTCTTAATAGCCTCTACAAGCAAATAAGTCATCTCCTTGAAATAAATCCTTCTACACATATGTACACACTCTCCCTCCCCCACATACACAACATCTCTATACCTAAAAGCTTCTTTGGCTTTGCTTCAAACAGAACTTTTTTCTCTCATAGCTTGGGATGCTAATAGTCCAAACTGAAGGTGCTTGTTCTGGAGGTAAATGTTTTTCCTCTATTAGCTCTGGGTAAAGAGTCTCATCTCTCCTTTCATTGGATCATGGCTGTGACCTGGGTACTGTAAGGGTACTGTATCTCAACCCTAATTTTCTCACAATTGATTAGCTGATCACATTTGAGGGAATGATTCCATCATTATATAACTGCCAAATCACTGAGGTTCATGGCCTACCTAAGCTGACACACATTTTTGTGGGATATAATTAAATCCATGACACTATGTACACAGAATGGGGGGAGGGGAGAAAATAATGTAGCTTGAAGAAGTTCTCTAATAAATCACTTAGATTATACTTCAGCTTAAAAAACCAAGAAAGAGAGAAAGAATTCTTACCTCCTCTCACTACACACAAAAGTTGAAAGATAAAACAAATCAAATTACTTACCTAGCCAGTTGTGCTAGTTCTTTTTGGGTCAATGGGCTTCCTTGCTTACATAACAGATTTTTAAGTAAAAGTAGCCTTGTCTGAAAAGAAATATTAGAGAGTTATCAATCCCAAGAATTAGCTTGATGATACAGCCAACAAAAGAATACTCCTTCTCTCAAAAAGCATCATTGTTTTCATGAAATATCAATGACTAGGCATTTTAAAGGTTTAAAGTTGAAGATGTTTAGAATCAGGACAATTGTACTGGATGTTATAGCAAAATCAATGGTAAAGGGCATAGCATTTTCCATTGTTACAGTTTCCAATTCACTATTCTGTCACCAAGTAAGAAGCATCAATTATTAAATGCTTAACATGTCCTGTTTACTAACAAAAAATAGGGTCAATTACACAAACAACTTTAAAAATGAAAAGCCTTACAAGATACCTAGCCACTAATAAAGCTGTGTTTTTTTCTTATTCCTACATTGTTAATACTGCTAATGATTGATATTTATGTCAGGCTAATTAGTATGTCTTTGTTGTATGCCACTGAGTTGGAACCAACTCATAGCTGACCTCTCACAGATTTTCAGAGGCATTAAATTCCAAGGGAGGAGATTGCCCATCCTTCCCCCACAGAGGAGCTGGTGAATTTGAACTGTGTGCTATTGAGATTGCAGCACAGCTTCTTACCACTAGGCCACCAGAGATCCCTAGTATAGACCATAATAATAATGTGGATGCTTTATATGCATATATATTCAAATTGCACAACACTGAGCTTGCTTATTGGCACTCATCCACTTTTCTGGACTTCAGAATCAGGTTCAACTTCTTACTATCATTATTTGTTAGCTAAATGATCTTACACATATTCTTCACCTTTTAGAGCTTTGTTACTGTTGGTTGAGATTTTTTAAAAAAACTTATTTTTAAAAGGTGTTTTTTTTAAAAAAATTTGTATTTTTAAAGTTTCTGAGAGAATTAATGAGATAAACCAAGTAGCTACTGTTACTATCAAGTATGTGAAGAATCTAAGCTGAACAACATTTTAAAATTATTAATTTTATGGCTGTGACAGATAACAAGTAAAATGTACATGAATATCCAGGGTGGGAACAGAGGGTAAGGATGGGTGGGGTGAAATCACAGGGGCGCACAATTTTGTGAACAGAGGGAGGGGTAAAAAAAATGGGAAAGATCTCGTGGGGATCTGTAAAGACAGTAACAGTGGGCACAGTTCAATGATGATTAATTTAATAAAACATAATGAATAGTGGGGGGAGGGATTGTAAAACAATGAAAGAATTTTTCTTTTACTTTTCCAAGAGGGGAGTGTACTGGGGGGTGGGTTAGGAGGGGAGAAAAAAGCAATAATGAATGACTTTAAATCCAAAGTCTGTAAATTTTCATTGAAATTAATAATAAAAAAATTTTAAAAAACTATAATGAATGGGAATGATTATGTGAAACACAATGTAAATGAAGAATCATGTGAAACACAATGTATATGAACTTTGTAAGGAAACCAATATAAAACATAAAACAAAATGTATGGAAGTATGAATTCATATACTATGAAATTCAAACATCATTAAGTACAAAATTAAAAAATGTTTAATAAATGTATACTGACTTATGCAACTATTACCATTTGGCTTTAAAATACTCCCACTACCCAAAACATTAACATATTCTTCTCTGCAGTCAGAGCTGCCCTCTTAACACTCAATCCCTGGAAACATCTTCATAAACTTGCCCTCCTAGGCTTTTCACATAAATATGATCCTATATGTAATCTTTTGCTTCTGGCTTCTTTTACTTAGTATGTTATATAATGACATATTAAACTACACAGAAGCAATTGATTCAACATTATTACCAAATGGTCTTATATAAAATGGATATGCTGCATTTCTTTACCCACTCACTAATTGATGAAAATTTTTAAATTGCTTTCAATTTGGGACTATTATTCATAATGCTGCTATGAAGAGTCTTATGTATCTTTTTGTGAACTCAGGTCTTAATTTTTTGGATTCCTAGGCACATAACAGCTGAGTTTTATGGTAAGTTTCTTCTCGTCTTTATAAGAAACTGTCAAAGCAGCTTGGATTGGGATACTTAACTTTTATAAGAAACTGTCAAACTTTACCCAACATAACTAGGATTGGAAAATTTAACTGTCAAGTTGGTAGTTCTTGCTTCTGTTTAAAAAGAATTACAACAAAGACACATACCTCCTCATTTGGTAAAGACACATATACCCGTTTGATAAAACGCCTACAAAAAAGAAAAAAGTTAGGAAAATTAAGAAAGTAAATTTTTCATTTAAAGGTACCTAATTCAATTCAATTAGCAGATGACTTGAGAAAAAAGCAAACTTTAAGCAAAACATTCCGGAAATTTGTAAATGCATCTCAGCAGTCACCAAAACAGATATTTAAAAATAAAACCGATATTTTAAAACCTGTTGCTAGTTAGTGATTTTTTCCTTTTTCACCAAGTTTGAATACTTTTTTATGAAGTTGTTGTAATGTTTACCTAAGGTTTAAAAATATTTTATCACTATTGTCAGAAGTTAACATTTATCATTTGTGTGTCTATTGTTAAATAACAGTAACATTTTAAAACAAATTAATTCTGATACAAAATGCCACAGTAAGAGATCTCTGTTGTCTTCTATCTGAAAACAAGAGAATAAAAATCTAAACCTCCTCATCAACAACTGGTGGTGTTGTAAGATGCCAACAAGTTGAGAAAGGCGGCTCATAGTGACCCTGCAGAACAACAGATCTGATTCCTCTCCTATGTTGTACCACCCTCATTATCTCTGACATCATCAAATCTACTGATGCCATCACTGTGCCAATTCATCTCATGTAGAAAGGAATATACAAAGAAGGTCTGCCACAGCAGAGTACAGGCATGGCTGGTAGTGCTCAAGAATTTTCCAATGGAGACAGAGAGAGATAGCACATCTGCAGATTTAAAAAAAAACAAAACCCCACACAAAACCCGCCCAACAAACCACCATCCTTCCATTTAAATAAACATGAGAGCGGTCTGACTCTGCAGCCCATGTGAACCCTAGGTAACACCATGGGAGTAGCGAGGTTAAACAAAGAAAACTCAACAGAAAAATCTATCCGTTTAAGAAAGCATTTCTAAGTTTGGCAAGATGTCAAGTGGGCCTGTAACCAACCTTTCTTCGGTGAAGAAGACACGCCTATTTTTTTTTAAACAGATAGGGTTACCCAAGTGAGGTAGACTGTTTGTTAGTCTAGGGGAGGCACAGGACACTATAACTAAAGATATCTCTCCAATACCTTACTTTATACCCCTTCCCAAAACAGAGTTTCTCAAATAATTTTCCTCTTTCAAATACCAAGCTTTTTTCAAAAGGCATAGGACCGATAAAAGCAACAACAACACTATCTAAAAAAGGGAGGGTGGATGATAAATATAAAGTAGATAAAATGAAGAACATTTGCAAAATTATTTTTCCATGGAGAAAATTTAAACTGTGAGTAAAAAAATTAACAAAGGAGCAAACAACAAATCTGGTAAGGTTGTGGAGAGATTGAAACTGTTATTCACTGCTGGTGGGAATACAAAATGGTATAGTCACCATGAAAGACAGTCTGGTGCTTTCTCAAAAAGTTGGAAATAGAAATAGCATTTGACCTAGCAATTCTACTACCAGGAATATACCCTTAAGAAACCAGAGCCATCACCCAAACAGATGATGTCTATTCATGTTTACTGTTGTGTTATTCACACCAGCAAAGAGATGGAAGCAACGCAAGTGCCTATCAACAAATGAATGGATAGAAAAACTATGGCACAGTTACACAATGAAATATTACACAACATTGAAAAACAATGAACTTGTAAAACATTACATAACATGGGGGAGCCTGGAGGACATTATGCTGAGTGAAATAGCTTCGTCACAAAAGGACAAATACTGTATAACACTGCTCTTATAAAAAAGGACTGACTTAAAGGTTTGAGGGGACAACAAGAAAAGAATGGCTAGATAATGAATACTGCATTGGAACAGATAAGGGGAAGAGCTGTCTAAAAGAAATACATGATTAGGTATTGTATATATGACAACAATCTGGAATAAGAGGTGCAGTGCTTACTAGGGTGGGGAAAGGGGAGAGAAGAAAATGTGCAACAATGGATGATAAAAAATAAATTTAACATACACACACACACACACAAATATAATAGGGGGGTAACTATGGAATTCAATGGGATATAAGAGCTGAAAGAAATTATAAACAAGGATTCAAAGAAAAAAAAAGACAACAGAAGCAGAAGTAAAGGAAAATAAGATACCAGAGGTAAGGAAAGAATTTAAAAAAAAAAAAAAAAGAAAAAAAAAAAGCAGAAACAAGTTAGGAAAGTAGCAGAAAGGATGATACCATACAGGTAAGAAATAAGGATGATAGGCTTGAGAAGACAGACCTTAAATAAGCACAGAAAGATCAAGATTTAAAACTATTAGAAAGGAAATCACAGAGGACATAAAAAAGACCCAACATGCTGCATAACTTATGTGCTGGGAAAAACTTCCAAAATGATGGCTTCAGAAAACCATCACAGTACTAAAACCAACTTTCTCAAAATGGAGGAGATTATACTCAAGGATACAAGAAAATCCTTGGAAAACAGATGTAGGTCAATCATCATAGTCAGTAAATAAGCAGATCCCAATGGCTGTAAATTATATTTAGTAAAAAAAAATCTGCAAATGCAGAAAATATCAAGTTAGTTTCAAACTTTGGAAGTGCAACATCCAATCTAGAAATAATGGCGCAAAGATGTAAATTCAGAAAGCAAGGACTAAGAATTTTATTTTGAGTCAAACTGTTCTTCTAAGATGAAGGCACTAAATTTGTTCAAACATGCAAGAATTAAGAACATAGTTTTCATTGGCACTGCCTTTATTAGTTTCTCATGTGGCCTAATAACAGAAGATATAAATCAATTTTAAGAGTTTCAAGACAATTTATTTTAACTGAAAACAACTGAGCAATTTGCTTAAAACTAGTTCTCTTGATAAGCTGGCTCATTTCTCAAAAACCTTATTTACAATGGGAAACTTTAATTAATCAATGATAATTAATGTTACTTTATAAATTAAAAAACCCCATTCCAAACACACACTTCTGTCCCCAATAATGGAGGGAAAAAACAACCATATTTAAGTTGGTAACAAGAGGGCAGAGGATAGACTAGGGAGAAAAAGATAAAATTTTAAAGCTTTAAAATCGAGAAAGGAGATAAAAGTATGTGAGTTGAGCATATGAGTAAATATATTAGTAATAAATATGTGTGTATTCACATAAATCTCTCTACCTGAGAACAGCATCATCAAGCTCTTGTGGTCTGTTAGTTGCACCCATTACAAGTACTCTGTCATCTCCAGCTGACTGTACCTACACGACAAAAGAGCCAAAAATGAGTCCAATGATTTTAGAAAAAGTAACAAAGGTACAATTTATATTTCTAATTTTGATCATTTAGTAAGGAGACACACATATATACACACACAAATCAGGTTGATTTTATATATATAAAAACAATGATATTTTAAAAAAATCAACACTTACACCATCAAATTCTATTAGAAATTCTGTTTTTAAACGTCTACTCGCATCATGTTCACCTTCTCTTCTTTCACACAAAAGGCTGTCAACTTCATCTACAAAAATATAAGCATAAGACTTTTATTAAAGGCCAATCTATATAATTTTATATTAAATAATCTGGTTCATTGTAAATTAAGACAGTGGGTCCTATTAATTTTTTCTCAATAGTCTAAGTCTTAACTTTCTTGAAAAACATTTTTTTCTGAATAGTCTTTCTTATCCTAAGTCTCTTATTTGGAGTTGGGTATGCCACAAATATCCGACTAATTTAGAAGGTATACATATTCTTACCTATAAAAATGATAGAAGGCTGAAGTTCTCGAGCCACAGCAAAAAGAGCTCTCACCAATTTCTCTCCTTCTCCTACCTAAAATGGAGTATTATATATTTTTATACAAATACAGTATTTCAACTTTAAAATTTCAGAATGAAAAAGACTAAGTTCCTACTCCAGAATCTAGGAACTGATTTGTTTTGAGTTAAGAGGAAAGTAGTAGAGTTACACAGAACTCTCTTATAAATTTGGAAAATTTGCTAATTATATCTTAATGATTTCATAAAGTTTGTTAAGTACTTTTAAAATGGAAAGATGTTTTATTTCATTTCACTTTTTGTATTCCTAAACTTAATGCTGGGAAAAAAATATTAGGAAAAATTAGTGAGAAGAGACAGTAGGAGAAAAGAAGAGGTACGCTGCTCATATTTCTGGCATAAGTCACAGAAAGCATGATACATTTATAGAACCAAGTAAGTTGGAAAATGTTTTCCTAAACAAACTTCCTCAACTAAGAATGCCTTGAGAAATGAGGAAAACAATGCCATTTATGAAAGCCATAAAAAATTGGTAATATTTAGCAAAAAACCTAACTAGAGATACAGAAGAACTATACAAAACAGACAAACAAACAAAAAAAACCTACAAAACACTACTACCAAGAAATGAAGGAGATCTACATAAAAAAAAAAACAACACAAAAAAAAACCCAAACATGATCATGGATAGGAAGACTTAACAGTGTGAAAATGACAGCACTGCAAGAAATCTACATACAGGTCGGATTCCAATACTATTCTTCAAGGAGATGGAAAAAGTAATAATCAAATTTACACAGAAAGGAAAGAGATACAAAACTACTAAAAAAGGAAAACAAAGCTTTCCAGAGAAGCAAAACTCTACTGAAGAAGGAAAACAACGCTTGAGGGGTTACAATGCCTCATCTCACTCTATATCTGCCTTCATCCTACTACAGGGCCATGGAAATCAAAACAGTGTCGAGTACTGGTACAGTGATGAACACACAGGCCAATGGAAGACACTTGAATCAAGATGTAAGTCCATCCACTTATTGTCAACTGATCTTTCACAAGAAAAAAATCCAGTAAGTGGGAAAAAGACAGTCTCTTTAACAAATAGTGCTGGCAAAACCGAACATCTATCTGCAGAAAACTAAGATTCATTTTTCACACCATAAAACAACTCACTCAAGGTGGATTGAGGAGTAAACCCTTAAACTATAAGGATTATCAGGACACATTTTGGAGTCGCTAACTACAGCATAAACAGACTATCAAATGTAACTTTCAGTTATTCTAAACAAAGGGTATTTGGGACAAATTTTGGAGTCGCTAACTACAGCATAAACAGACTATCAAATGTAACTTTCAGTTATTCTAAACAAAGGATATTTGGGAAAAATTTTGGAGTCGCTAACTACAGCATAAACAGACTATCAAATGTAACTTTCAGTTATTCTAAACAAAGGATAAACTGGATGATTGATACCTCGTAAAAATTAAATCTGTATGTGCATCAAATGATTTCTCTGAAAGAGTAAAAATAAAATCTACAGATGGGGGAAAAATACTTAGCAATGATATATCTGACAAAGAACTCATATGTTAAAGCTGTAGAAACCACCTCAACAAGAAAAAGACAACCAAATATAAAATGGCAAAAGGCATGGATAGACACTTAGCCAAAGAAGCCATTCAGTTGGCCAAAAAGAAATCAAGAAATGCTCCAGATCATTAATTGCTATTGTTATGGGCTGTCACACTGGAACCAACTCACAGCTGACCATACAGGCAGCTTTCAGAGGCAGTAAATCACATACAGGAGAAGACAATTCACTTTTTCTCACAGAGAAGCTGATAGATTCAAACCAGTTTTCTTAGGGTTGGCAGAGGACCTCCTTACCACAAAAGCTCCCTTCATTAGCTTAGCAACTGTTGTTCTTATGGACCTTCGAGTCAGAACTGACTCATCGCTGCCCCACTCCCAGGTGTTCAGAGGCAGTAAACACACAAGAGAAGACTGTTCCTCTTTCTCCTGCACAGCAGCTGGTGGATAACATGCCTTTGGTCTGGCAAGCACAACTCCTTACCATTAAGTCACCAGAGCTCATTCATTAGCTATCGGAGAGATGCAAATCAAAACAATAATTAGACAGCCTCTCACTACATCAACAATAGCAATATTTATTAAGATAGTAAACAATAAATGCTGGCAAGGATGTGGAGAGATTATAACTTTCATACACTGCTTGTGAAAATGTAAAATGGTACAATCCCTACAGAAAGTGGTCTGTTGCCTCCTTAGAAAACTGGAAACAGAATTATCATTTGATCCACAGGTACCTGTGAATCTGAAAGCTGGACAATTAATAAAGACAACACAAGAATAACTGATGACTTTGAACTGTGGTGCTAGAGAAGAGTACTAAATACTCCATGGACTCCCAAAAGAACAAAGAAGTCTGTCTTAGGAAGAGCAGATCTGAACCTTGCTCTATCCTGTGCCATCCTGGCGATCTAGGCCACTGCTGAGCCCACTGCTATAGTCACGGTGTCAATCCATCTTGTTGGGTCTTGCTCTCTTTCTCTGGCTTTTTACCTTTTGCAGCATAATATTTCTGTAAATTTATGACCAAAAGGTATCTTTTCAGCCCTTCAGAGAGAGAATTCACTTAACTTCTGGTAACAATGCAAGTATTTTAAACTTTTGCAGACAGAATTTTTTTAAAAGCAGAGTTCTTAAATTGCAGTTTAAAGAAGCATGCCAAAATGCATTCAATCAAGATTTTTATGTAAAAGGTAAGTTGAAAGAACAAGGTGTTATTTGAACAAATAAGGAATAAGTAGGAAAGGGAAAGATAAAGCAATGTTTGACTAGAACTATAGACTTAACAGCTTTCCACCAGTTCTGTTCACAGCTCAGTTCTATATATCAGACCTATTATTCTCTTTTACCCTTAGAGTTATGCCTGCCCTATCTGAAGGTGAATTGAGGTCTTCTTTGAAACTGAAAAAGACTGAACTGTATGTTTTAAAAAAAAGGAAACACAGAAAACCTAAGTCATATTTAATTCAGAAATACTGTGTTAGACTATTATTTCTTCTTTTGTAAAGGTTATCATACTTGCTGGTACTCTGATCTAAAATCCACTTTCCTTGATAGTATTTAAGTGGAAAGTGAAGATATCCTTTAACACAATCCCGATTAGAGTTTGAATAATGTACATACTTTCCACTTTGAAGACTAATATTAATCTTATATTAAAAAAAGGCACAAACTCATAGAATATTTTTGTGTATTACCACTTAACATAACATAACAGTATTAATATGATGATGTTGTTGTTATTGTTGATTGCCTTTGAGTCAAGCATGACTCATAGCAACCCTATGAACAAAAGGCTTGAAGCCCTTCTACAACAATCAACATTTATCAAAGTTCATAAGAGTTTCTAAAGACAAGTTATTTAGCAAATGGATGTCACTCCTGCTTCCAAAATATGGTAACGACAAAATATACTCACATATTTTGATGTTAAACTTGCAGCACTTATGTTAAAGAAAGTTGCATTGGACTCTGCAGCTACAGCTTTTGCCTGTAAAAATTATGAAAGCAAATATTTTATTAGTTTAATATTTTGCTTTAATGATAATCACATTTGACCCATTTAAATTCTACAAAATATTCTCTAAAAAATGTTAAGAAATGTATCATTCCCAATATATGGCAATCAGTATGTTTCCTTCTCAGCAATGAGGAAAGGGTTGTGTTATGCTAAGCGTTTGGTTTTTTTAAAAATTTTATTATTTTTCTGTGTGTGTACCGTCAAATCAGATCTGACTGGTACAGGAGGAGATTGTTCCTCCTTCTCCAGCAGAGCATCTGGTGGATTTGAACCATGCACCTCCTGGATTGCAGTGCAGCTTCATGCCATTAGGCCACCAGAGCTTGCCTATGCTAGGGTTTTTTAAAGAACAATACTCCACCCTGTTGTTTTCTAAGAGAGAATGGTAGGAAGAGGTTAAAAATAAGAGTGCTATACTCTTTCCAGTTACAGAAAGATAATGGGTTAGACAAAGATTAACAATGAATGGGAAAGCTATTTTTCCCTGTTTACTTTTTTCTCTAGAAAAGCTAGAAAAGAGGTATTCATAGCACATAAAAAACAAAATACTCCCCTACTCATGGGGAGAGAATGCTAGGGGAAGGAGTGAACCAACTTCTAACTTCTGTTGTGTGGATTACTTAAAAACACTTCAGATTATCAGAAATTAAGAGATAAAGAAACTTAACGTGGTAGCATAAGTTCTTTAAGTTAAACTCTGTCAATACTTAAACAATGAAAATTTGAGTTAAATTTAGTCAATGCAAAACTGACTACTAAGGAAAACCTAAATGATTTTCCAGGATTATCTTAATAGTAAACTACTTTAAAAACTAGTGTATTTATTATAAAAGGTTATTATAGGAAAAGCATGTAAGAAATAAGATGATAGATGCAGAGTCAAGTTTAGGGTTCCCCTCTCCATATAATTATCCCTAAAATCTCATTACACTACCCAAACTTGTAAAGAATTCTTACCAGCATTGTTTTTCCATTTCCAGGTGGACCAAAGAGTAACAATCCTCTGGCAGGAGCTCTCAGTCCTGTGAACAACTTAAAAATATATACTCGAGTTCACAACTATAATTCTGGAGACATCAAGACATTTTAAAGTATTACCATCTAAAACTACCTTTCTTGTTTTTTTTAACATCCTTCCAAAAAGAGCTACCAGAGCTTTCAAGAGACTATATAATAAAAATATTTATTTAATGATGAAAATCAGAATAAAAATGAAATAAAATAAAATTCTCAGTGGTCAAAATGAAAGCAAACTGATTAAACAAGACAGAATGAAACAAAGGAATTTTTCTTTATTTCTGTTAGAAACTATACCAAAACAATTGTAAATGAATAAAAAAGGAAACATATTCAATGCACAAAGAATGAGAGGAGACAATATAAATATTTGAAAGATGGCAAATAGATAAAAGAGTGGTTAATTACTTAGTTGAACCGACAAACCTAAATAAAACCTGCTTGTAAAAGGATACCTGAATACAAAAAAAGGAAAGTAACATGAACCAAAAATTCCTGCAAAAGTTTGACAATTCAAAGCACTGAGTATCAGAGAAAATAACAATGTGGCAAGAAGTAAAAAACAGAAAGTTTATATGAGGAGTAATTGAACCCATGTTTCTCCCTACCACCAAAAGCGGCCAGCTAAGTATTCCTCTACTACAACCAAGGAAAGTAGCTATTTTATTCCCAAGAGAGATTAAGCCAGCATCATCAGACTCTAAGACACCAGGCATTGCAGGAGGTAAGAGGAAATAATAGACTGAAAACGGATTAAGTCAAGAAGTTTATACTTTTAAGTGAACCATGTGAAACGGCTAACATTCAACTACTTTTGACTTACTAACTCAGTAGTTTCATATGTTCCAAACCCAGCAACTAACTCCCTACTCTCATCTAGTTTCTAGAACAGTAATTTGTAATTGACTAATTTCTAGTCAAATAAATTCATACCATACCCAAATTCTCAAGTGTAGCCTGTTATCTATCCATTCAAACTCCTTTCTCGTTTTGCACAGTGGAGATAACTTTATGAAGTACGTCTGATCCATCTAGAACCCTATTGTAATTCATTTTATGGACTTATAAGGCCAAGTTATTAAATGTTATTTGAAGTAACTTGCAACTAAAAATTTAACATACAAATTCCAACTTCTTGGTGGTAAACTGTAAGTACTAAGGAAATCTGCTTAAATGCAAATGTACACAGGAACAACTCAAGAGATACTACAGGTTAGATCTCAGACCATCAAAATAAAGCAAATATTGCAATAAAGTGGATCTCAAAATTTCTTTCGATTCCTTGTACATATAAAAGTTATGTTGAGACTATGAAAAATATAACAGTATAAAAAAGTTGAAAATATTTCTTGAATTACCAAAATGTGACAGAGACACATGAAATGAGCATAGGCTGTTAAGAAAAATGCTCCCTCTGCTCAAGTCAACATTTTCCCAAACCTTCAATTTGTAAAAAAAATAGTATCTAAAAAAAAGGCCAGTAAATCAAAAGCAATTTTTAAAAAGGTATGACTGTAGTTCTTTTTACTTCTTTTTCCAATGGTGGTTGAACAGGTTAAGTGTTGGATTGCAAACTGAAAGGCTCACATTTCTTAAATTCCTGTGACTCCACAGGAAAAGATGAGGGGTCTTCTGAGAAGATCTACAGCCCTGGAAATCTGATAGAGGGCTGCCATGAGTTACAACTGACTCAGTGGCAGAAGTGATTTAATGCTTACTGGTTTCCAGTAATGAGTTCTCTGAAAATATATGTAAAGCAAGATCTCAATGTTTTTCCTAACACTGCTCAAATAGCTTCCAGTTGCTCAATTTGTACTTTCTACCCTAAAAACCAATATTTGCTTGCAAGTGATATAATGGATGGAGAGGAGAGTGAAACTGTCAATAGTTTCATCTTGCTTGGATCCACAATTAACACCCCTGGTACCAGCAGTCAGGAAATAAGGAAGATACACTGCACTGGGAAAATCTGCAGTTAGGGACGTCTACAAATTATGGAGGAGTAATGATGTCAGTTTGAAGACTAAGACGTGTCTAATTCAGAGCATAGTCTTTCCAATCACTTGCTATGCATCTGAGAGCTGGACAATGTACAAGGATGACAGAAGAAGAACTGATGCTTTGAGCTATGGTGCTGGAGAAGAGCACTGAACATTACATGGAAGGCCAAGAGAACAAACATATTATGTCTTGGAGAGGGTGCAGCTGAGTGCTCTTTGGAGGCAAGAATGATGAGGCTTTGCCTTACATACTTTGGGCATGCTGCTAGGAGGGCATGCTGCATGTTCCTTGGAGAAGCACTTGATACTGGGAAGGGTGGATGGTTAGCAAAGGAAAGGAAGACCCTTGACCAGGTGAATTATCTTGGTGACTGCTGCAATGGGTTTTTATGTGTCAGGAAATGTGAGGATGGCACAGGATATGAACAGACACTAAACCAAAGAAGGCACTCAGATGGCTAACAAGCACATGAAGAAATGTTCAAAATCCCTAGTACTAAGAGAGATGGAAATCAAAACAACTATGAGATACCATCTCACCCCAGTAAGAACAGCAAAATTTAACAGAACAGCAAGCAACAAATGCTGGTGAGGTTGTGAAGAAATTGTAACCCTTATTCACTGTTGAGGGGAGTGTAAAATGGTGTAACCACGGTGGAAGTCAGTATGGTGCTTTCTCAAAAAGTTGCAAATAGAGTTAACAATTTGACCCAGCAATTCCACTACTGGGAATAAATCCCAAAGAGACCATAACTGACATCCAAGCAGATATATGCACACCCATGTTTATGGTGGCTTTGTTCACAATAGCAAGGAGTTGGAAGCAACCTAAGTGCCCATCAACAAACAAATGGATAGAGAAGCTGTGGTATATTTACACAATGGAATACTACCCTGCATTGAAAAATAAGGAACTCATGCAATATTATTCAAAATGGGTGACCCCGGAGGACATTATGCTGAGTGAAATATCTCAGTCACAAAAGGACAAATACTGCATAATGCCACTGTTATAAAACAGGCCGTCATCGGGGTTGGGGGAGACTGAGAAAGATGGGTTCAAAATGTATACTGCATTGAAAAGATGAGGGAGAAAACTGTTTAAAAGGGCTATGTGATTAGGTATTACAGTATGACAGGAGTATGTATGACAGGAGTCCAGAACGAAGGCTGCATAGTGGAGTGGAACTGGGGGGAAGGACTGTAAAACAACAAAAGAATTTTACTTTTCAAAGAGAAGCATGTACTGGGTGGGGAAGGGTAAGCCAGGGGAAAAATGCGACAATGGATAAATGGAAATCAAAAGTCTCTGTAAATTTTCATTAAAATTAATAATAATAAAAAATTTTTTAAAAGTTGATTAAATGATTCCTAAAATGAGAATCCTCCTTTACATGCACTTTCTTCTACTGCATTTACTAGTCTCAATTTCAGCAAAAAGTCCAACATGATTCCCAAAGTGTGACCCAAGAGAAAATTTGGGTACGGACACAAGTTTTTCAGTTTAATAATTCTTTAGTGTGTATTTTAAAGTTAGCATATCAAACCAGGGATTTTTATATATATAAATTGCTCCTTAGAAAGAGTAAAAAGTAAAAACAGAGTATACTTGAAAAATATTCACTAAGAGATAGTATATGGATGCTCAAAAGTGATACACATTGTGAAGGTAGCTAAGTCAATGGCTGAATGTTCAAGGAGAAATAACTGACTCAGAAGTGGGTTCTCAGATTTCTTATATAGGAAAATTCTCAACAGCACCAAATATATAATCTGTGAAAATTCCTAATACAGCTAAGTAGGAAAAAATCAAATACTTATTGTCAAATGCAAAATTACCTAAAGAAGTGAACTGGCTTTCTTTTTTACCTACTTTAATGATTTCTACTTTTGAAAAGAATTGTTTCCAACCTGTTTTACAACTGGGAGCTCCACCAAACACCAACCACTTACATACAGAAAATTATTTATTTATTATATTAATTATTTGTCTCTTATTTTACAATTCTCTTAACTTGATACAAAAATGATTTTCTGTTACTCAGTTTTTTCTAGAAGACCTTGGGTGGAGCAGGTAAGCACTGAATTACTCACTGGAAGGCTGGTTGTCAACATCAACAGAAGGCACATCAGGAGGCATACTTAAAGATCTGCTTTTGAAAGGTCACGGCCCTGAAATCCCTGGGGAGCACACTTCTACTCTGTACACTCAGCCTCAAAGCAAGTTGAACTGACTTAAATGGTAATTAACAACAACTCAATTTTTCCAAAAACATTAAAAATTAATTGGGAAGAAGACATTTTTAAAATTCATTCTTCTCTCCAATATTACCAGGTTCACTGCTTTCAAGTCAATTCTGACTCAGAGTCTGTCCATCTGATTTCTACAGCTGTATTAATGGGAGCAGAATGCCCAACTTTCTATTTTGGAGTGGCGAAATGGGTTCAAACCACCAGAGATGAGACACTTTCTGTTTAGCATAATATGGTATGGACTATGGCACCAGGAGGACACATACACAATGGGCATGTTATCAGAAGGGGTCAGTGCTTTGAAACGACATCGTGCTTGCCAAGGTAGAGGAGAGGAAGATCTTCAACAAGATATACTGATACAGTTACTGCAATGTTGTTGTTGATTACCTTCAAGTCAAGCATGACTCATACCAACTCCATGAACAAAAGGCCTGAAGCCCCTCTTCAACTACGGACATTTATCAAAGCTCATAGTTTCCAGAGGCATGTTATTTAGGAAGTGGATGCCATTCCTGCTTCCAAACCTGTCACAGTATGTTACTGTCACTGCAACAGTGAGTTTAAATACAGTGAAGATTATAATGATAGCACACAACTAGCAAGGTGTCAATCTGTTGTTAACAGGGATGCTATGAATGAAAAGTTGACTCGACACTACCTTACAACAAACTAGCTGCTTAATAACAGGTGCTAATTTTTTGTAAAAAAATTATTATACTGTTATTTTATACAAATTAAACCATCTAGCATACACCTAAATTGTCTTTACTAATACTGTGGATTCAATAACAAATGATATCATAGGAAAATGATAATATAAAGTTCTTACCTCAGGCCTCAGAGAAGGAAGAATAACAATTTCTTGTAATGCCTGTTTTGCCAATTCTTGCCCAGCTATGTCATCAAATTTAACAGCTGTTCCACTAAGAAAAAGAACCTTAGTTAGTTCCACAAGATAAATGCTTCATTTATTACAGAACAAAGTCAATTAATTGCATCGTTGTTGTATACCATTGAATTAGAATAGACTCATAGCTGACCCTCAAGTTGTTTTTCAGAGTCTGTAAATTGCATGGGAGGAGACTGCCCATCTTTCTCTTGTGTAACAGATGGTAGATTCATATTGCTGCCAAAACTCCCTTAGTTCACGTTAAGCTCTGTAATAATCCACTGTCATTAAGTATATATCGATTCCTAGTGACCCTACGTGGCAAAGTAGAGTAGTCACATATGTTTTAAAGGCTCTAACCCTTATATACGCAGACCGCCACATCTTTGTCCCAAGGAGCTGTTGGTATGTTCTAACCTACAGCATTCAGTTAACAGCTGAGTGCTTTAACCACTAAGGCAGCAAGCCTCCTCTTAAGCTCTGATAGTGTAATCACTTTTATGGTAACTAATTTAACTGTGAAACTATAAACCAGGAAAGCATTTATGTTCATTGAAAACAGTCATAAAAATCAGGTACATCAGATAGTAGTTCTTTTACTTATGAACTATTTTATAAGTAAAATTATGAAATACAAACATTTTGTATTGTGAACTTACTTATCAACAATTTCATTCATTATTAGATTTGCAAGGTTGCTGTCCACATTTCTAAAATTCTTCAAGTCTTTCTTTCTGTGAGAAGCAGTTGTAGGAGTAGAAGGTTTATTTGTTCTATTTGTTTTCGGCGTACCCTTAAAAATACAAAGTTTCAATGTGAAATAACAGCCTAGCAATTATATTTTTCACAATTATATTATCCTTAAGTTTTAAACTACAACTACAAGTTTTAAAACAGGAAAAACAATACAGAACTCAAAACACATAATTTTACTGTCAAGTAACTTTGTAGTTACTCTACAACTACATTTAGCATTTAAAAACCCCAAACTCAACTGTGTTGCCAAGGCTGTAAATCATATAACAAGGGCTGCCTCCTATAAATATTTACAGCACTAGAAACCCAATGAAGAGTTATGATTCAGAATTGATTCCATGGTAGAGAGCTTTTTATACCATTTTAAGTCTGGTAGAGCAATTTCTTAGGGAGCTCTGGTGGCTTAGGGGAAAGGATTTGTGTCACCAACCTGAAGACAAGCAGTTTGAACTCATCAGCTGCTCTGTGGGAGAAAGAAGGGTAATCTCCTTCCATGTGATTTACTGCCTCTGAAAACCCACTAGAATCAATGCCAACATAACAATACATAACAACAATCTCTGTGTATAACAGACATAGATATGAATTCAAACGGAAGCTGCCGGGTCTGCTTTGTGCAGTTGGATCCAATATGTGTTATTCTCTGATCAAGATTTCTGAACTCTATCATAACCTTAAGGAATCATGGACATATATAACAGGATGGTGCCCAAATGGATGTTGTGCACATAACTGTATACTAAAAAGACTGTGCAAGCAAAATCAAGAAGTCTAATTATTTTCCCAAGAAATAAAAATATAGTTTGTACCCTTGGTTATTAAAAAGAAAAATAATTACATTTAACTCTGCAAAAACTTATTCACTGAAGTAATGTACTTGCGATAAGCTTAAGCAAAATACCTTATGACTTGTGGCAGGAGTAGGACCTTGTCTCACTCCTGAAACCATAGATAACCCACTGTAACTCGGTGCTCTGTGGTGACCTGAAAGACCTGTGGATCCAGTTTTCATGACTGTTTTTGAACGAGGCAGTGAATTACTAGGGTGTGTTAAGGGATCTTTTCTCTTTGGAACAGCTCCGCTTTCTATTAAGAAAAAAGAAATTTTACATCATTGCAAAAAATTGTGGCAAAAGATCATTGAAGTCACTGAATTATACATAAACTGTTGAACTGGTTTACGTTCTGCTATATGTACTTTCATCAACAACAACAAAATTCTTTTTAAAAGACAATAATCATAACCAGTATAAATCTGACAGTTCAATAAAACAGAAAGTAAGCTTAGTATTTGCTTTTAAAATAAAGAAGTATTTCAAGATGAAATTTCAAACACAATATAAACCACAGTATTCAAAGAGATAGGGTTAGGATTATCTAATTTTTTCCTTTTTTAAAGATTATCTTAACTTCCTTATAAATAACATGCATTTCAGTAAGAAACAGTATCATCTGTAGGGCTGGGAAGAGGATATAAAAGTTTACAAGTAAATAAAGCTAATTATCAGGTGAGAGAAAATGCAATAAAGGTAACAGGGACATCAATGTATTAATTTGGTCAAGACTATAAAATAGTACATGTCATCCATCACAGCTCATACCAACTGAAACAATTTTTAAAAATTAACTTTTCAACTGCAAAAGTATATTTGTTAATAAACATACTTTATGTGATATACACACACACACACACACACACACAAACCAAGAATTGATAGAATTTTTTTTTTTTATTTGGAAAGGCTACGTGACCTAAAGAATCTTGTGTATAAATTATAGGCTGGTTTTTCCAGAATTAAGGTTGCATAGAGAAGTGTACCTGGGGTGGGGGGGAAGGGATGGGGGAATTTTACACCAATGAAGGAATTTTTTTTTAATCTTTTTCTTTTCGGAGAGGGGAGCGAGCTGGTGAGAAAGGGTGGGCAGGGAGAAAAGTGCGGCAATGAATGAATGGAAATCCAAAATCTCTGTAAATGTTTATTAAAATTAATTTTAAATAAGATAAAAAAAATTATAGGCTGGTTTTAAATGCTTCCATTTTCTTATTTTTAAGTACTTTTATAAAATACATAGCAAAGTATTAGCTTTTATTAATGACAATGCTTAGTATCAAGCCAATTGTATAATCACCTAGCAAAAATGTGGACAATTGAAAAAAAAAGACCTTAATTTTTGCTTTTGGCATCAAATCACTGCATAGTTTATGGAAATATCTAAGGAGTCTAAATTAACATTGGAAGTCAGCTTCCTTATATGTAAAAATAAATTTATGGGTTCTAATACAAGATACTAGATACCAAGATTCCATTGTTATTAGAAGTATGGGACCAAACTCCTATGATTGGAATGAAAATGTTGAAAACAAAGAACTATTAGCTGGAAAATAAGGCCTTGGTAACAGAAATGAGGTAGGAGATTGAACGATAAACTTTTATATCACCAATGGTTTATTCATGGCAAATACTTGTAATACTACTATACACACAGACTTCATCTGATTGATTACGTAGGAATCAGATGACTACATCTGTGGAAACACTGAAGCAGCTCATTAACAGTAGTTCAAGCCAAGCTGACTGTGGAATAGACTATTCACATACAAATTCAAAATGAAGTTGAAGAAAATGAAAACACGTCCACAAGAACAAATACGAGCCTGAGTGTATCTACTGGAAGTTAAAAACCATTTAAAAAAAATAGACACATTAAGCACTAAAAAAAAATAGACACATTAAGCACTAATAACTAAAAACCAGATGACTTGTGCAGTGACATAAAAGATCATTACAAGGAAAAGTCATTACAAACACAAAAAAAGCAAGTGTCGTTGGTGGGAATGTAAAATGGTGCAACCACTGTGGAAGGC